TTCCCCCCCCCCCCAGGCTACTACAGCCAATTGCTTTTACCCCCAGTCTCTAGTTTTCTTCAATAGAGGGAAATCACAGATTCTTAGATATGACTGAACAACACTACCAATTTAGAGATGGTAAGAAGGGTGTATTGATCACCTCCCATAAAAAGGTAGATTGTCTCTTAAATGAAGATCCCAAATAAATGACCGTATTTCTGCCAGCTAAAGAAACAACCACCTCATGTGTTTATGTAATTAGCATAAATAGTCGCTCTGATTTGGAATGGCTCTTCTATTCCTTGTCAGGTGAGATTATCTGGACATTAAATTTAATTTTAACCTGCAAGTCAGGACAAGAAATGGAGGGGGGGGCTTATGCACAAGAAAACCTCTTTTTTTTTTCCTTCTTTATTTCTCTTACAGCTGTGAGCACCAAAGGAGAGCCATTTATTTCACCTCTACATAGGAAGTTCAGGTTCACAGCCCAGAGAAACTAATGCAATGCCTTAACAGGCTTTTTTGCAAGAAGTGTTTATGACCCTGTATTCAGCCACACTTCTTTTTCTATAAGAAACTATTAAACCGATCTGTTCCAAGTAAATTTTCCCACCTTTTCAGAAAAAATCTGAAGGCAAAAGCTAGATACTAAAATTTACAGGAGGGGTGGGGTAGATATATATTATTTTATACAAAACATTTAGAAGAATATGTACCTCCAGAAGTGAGGTATAAATAGCCTGTTCTGCTCAGGAACAGGAAATTGCGCTCTCTTGCAGCATACCATGGCTACAGAATTTTTTACTTGATTGCTAATCCACTTGTCAAAGAATTAAAACAGGAGTTTACTTATTTATAACTATAAACAGCCCAACAACACCACAAATACTGTTTCACTCAGAAAATATTTGCTATTTGTCAAAGTAATTTCAGAAAACTAGAAGCTGGCCTGTGGAATTCACACACAGGGTAGTACTGCAGTAACCACAGTTAACCAGCTGAGGTGGTACTGTGCCCAAAACAGCTTAAATGTGCTAAAAATGGGCTGTTGCCACATATGGCAAATTACTTATGCTAAGGACCATGGCTAAGGTCTTATTTCTCCTCTATACTACACTGTAACGTAGACTTCATATAATGTCAATTTAATCCAATGGAAACTCTGTCTACTGAAGCTAAAGACTCTCCTGATTCCAGCTAGCAAATACTCTTTTCTTTAAAACAAATACTTGTCCTTTCTTCACTCAGGAGAGCCAAGAAAAACAGCAGATCCCTAGCGTCACTAACTGAACAAATCTGACACAAAACACCTACTAAACTTCCTCAGGAGGATACCTGCAACTAAATGCAAACAATGTTTCCATTATACTGGAACTAGTTTGTCATTCATTGTATTCACATGAGTGTGTTCTTAACCTCCAGATCTGGAATGGAACCAGGATGTGATGGAACCAGGAGTCCCCAAGGTGTATAAAGTAATTCTGATATCACTGTTTAAAAGTTAACTGAATCAGCATTTCGGCCTAGTAGTTATGCACCAAATATCATAATTTAACTTCAACAGGCATTATATTTCCTCAAAAGGTAGACTGCTCAGATACTTCAATGAGGGATTAAATTCAATGTTACCTCCCCAATAGTTTTTTTCTTCTAATGTCAGAAAACATGTAACATGATTACTAATGATTCATCCAGCCAAAAATTATTACCATAAAAATTAAATCATAAACTCCTCTTCATTTAGCATCACCTACACTTACTAAAAGCTTTAGAGATCAACAATCTTAAGAGACTGATTATTTTATTAAGTCTAAAATGTAACTTATAGAAAGTGAACACAGGATCACAAGTGAAATTGCATTTAAGATCAATCTAATAACAAATGAGCATGATATATGCTTTATCTGGACTCTTACTGAAACCAGGGCAAGAGCAACACTGACAGCAAATTACCTTAAGCATACAGTTCCACAAGTATGGATGAATAACTTAATGGGAAGTCATTTGCATAAGATATGTTGTGAATACTTAAGCCATAGTCTAACACCTTCTGAGCCTGTATGATGTAAATCTCTGCATTCATTACATTAGCACTTCAGATGCCGAGTCCAACACATCCCAACAACATAAGTATTTCACCTTCCATTTGTCATTTCAGTATTAATAAGGAAGCCAGTGTTGTTCTGTAAACACAGCTCCTAATGCTGGTAAAGTCACTAACAACACAAAAAATATAATAATTAAAAAAATATACATCACTATATATATATATAT